AGAGAGTCCAGTTCCCACCGGCTTCACCATTGATGTTCTAAGTCCCCTCTTTAAGTCGCCCCCCGCCTGCCCCGCGGCCCCCGGGCTGCATCTCCCAGCTCAGGCACTACCCAGGAGCCCCGCCCCCAGCCCTGCTCTGCTCCCCTCGGGCAGCCAGAGGACGGGTGTTTCCCGTCACCTTTCTCCTCTGCTCAGCCCTCACCAGGGGCTGAGCATGTCCTCCAGCCTCCTCCGACTCGGTCCTCGTCCCTGTACTCTGTACCCAGCCTGCGCGACTGCGACGGTGTGTCTGTCCCTGCCCCTGCCCCCAGCCCTTCGCACATGCTGCTCCTGTTCCCCGGAGGCTCTTCCCCATCACGCCTCTTCCTTGACGGCCAGCACCTGTTGTGAGGACCCCTCAGAGTCCCCAGCTAGAGGGGGGCTCTGGGACCGGAGGGCCTGGGGGGCGTCTGGGGAGCGGCCTGCAAGCGGGGTGAGTTGGGGGGGCACGAGCCCCGAGGGGCTGGGCGGGGGGGGGGCAGGGCTGGGTGGTGGCCCGGGCGAGGTGACGCAGGAGGACGACGCGGGGTTGACTGAGCTCGGGTGGGGCGAGGGGGTGGTGGGTTCCATCGACGGAGGTGGTCCCCGGGGTGGGGGCGCGTGAGTTCAGGTGACAGAGCGCTGACTTCCCAGAGCAGGGACTGAGGGAATCGAGAAGCCGAGGCCCCCTCCCTGGGTCCCTTCACCCACAGGAGTCGGCGTCCACCCTGGGGGGACATCGCCCCTGCCCACCCCCGCCCTGGAGTCAGGCAGCTGAGCGGGCAGGGACGGCGGTGCCCCCCTGAGGGGCAGCCACTTGTCACTCCTGCAGGAAGGTGGCCATTCAGGCTGCGGCAGAGGCCGCCGACCCGCCTCAGTTCCAATTCCGCCTCCACCCTGCAGTCAGCCCCCTTCCTGTCCCTGTCCCCTCACCTGGGACACAGGGACCCAGCAGCAGAAGGGCCCGCCAGCTCCCTGCCCTTGGCGGTGTGCGCTCCGTGAGTCAGTGCAGCCACAGGAGGCCCACGTGGCTAGAGGACTGAGGAGGAGAGGCCAGCAGGCCTCCATCACAGGGAACCTGGGGAGCGGGAAGGAGTTGGGCTTCATCCCAGGGCAATGGGGAGCCGTGGGGGTCCTGCACCCGGAGGGACACCACCTGCACATGGAGGCCTCTGGACAGAGGCAGACAGACTCCCGCAGATCCAGAACCGCGCACCCGACCGGCCGAGGCAGGGGCCGAGCTGCAGCCCAGGCGGGAGAGGGCCTCCCTTGTGGGAGGCAGAAAGTCGGCCTCTCAGCAGAGAATCCTTCACGCAGGAAGTTCAGGGCGGGCGGGACAGCTGGGACAATGTATCCAAGTGCTCGACAGGAGCAAGGCCACAGCAGGGGGGGGGGACCCCAACCAGCCCCCAGTGTGAGCAGGGGACCCGAGGGCATCGCTGGACCCAGGTCCCTTCACGTGCTGCAGGCCTCAGTCTCCAAGGGACTCCCACCGTGCCTGCGCCCCGAGACCCCCAGTGCCTGCGCCCCGAGACCCCCAGTGCCTGTGCCCCGACACCCCAGTGCCTGCACCCCAAGACCCCACCCGCAGAGAGACTGGGTGCTCAGGCTGCCCCAGGCCACTTTGTCTGCTGAGCCTGTTCCCTGGGGCAGGATGACCCCACCTCACAAAGGAGGGAAGTCACCTTGCCGCGTGGCCTCGCTTCTGGCTTGGGTGCAAACCCCTGATGGTACTTGCTGTGTGTCGGGTGCCAAGCTGGACCCTTCTGCTCGAGGTCCCAGCTGGTCCCCACCGCAGCTCAGGGCAGAGCCAGGACTCGGCCCAGGTGGACCTGACCTCAAACCTGCTCTTCCCACAGCCACGGGCCGGAGGACGCTGGCCACCACTTACCCAGCGCCCACTGTGCGCCCAGCATGGTGCCGGGCACTTGATGTGGCTTCACAGGCTTCCCCCTCACCACTGACCTCTCAAAGTCACGTCACCTCCTGCGCAGGTGAGAGGACTGAGGCTGGGGGCTGTGCGCGGGCCGGGAAAGCTGGTGTTCCAGTACTTTCCACAGACTGCAGGGAGGAACAGTGCTGCTGTCCCGTGGCCAGCACTGGCCGGGCCTGGCCCGGATCTGGACCCTCATCTGCACCAGCTCACTTGGCGTCACCTCAGAGGGGGACATGAACTTGACCCCGTCACCCAGCGGGAAAGGGGCAGAAGTGGGACTGAAGCCCAGGTGAGCCGCCCGTGGCCCAGACAGCTCCAGACCACCTCCTCCAGGCTGCCTCCCAGACCCTGCCTTGCCCTCTGCGCACGGCCCCAGCACCCGGGGGCTTCTCCACATGCTCGGGCAGCGGGCAGCGCCTCTCCCAGGTGAGAGATCTGCCCCCCAGCCGTGCCCCCCAGAGGACCCTGGACAGAGCCCTGCCTCCCTCAAGATGATTGACAACCCCCAACTATGACCATGTCCCCGGCGCCAGCCCCGTGCCTGGTGACCTCAGCCCACAGCGGAGGCGGTTCTGTGGGTGACAGGTCCCCTGCTCCCCGGGAGGACCTTTGGCCATCAGAGAAAGCAGCGGTTTTACCAAGAAAACGAGGAAGAGGCAGCAGAGGGCGGGCCTCGTGGTGTGGGCGAGGGACACCTGGGGGCAGAGAAGTCCTGGGCACACTCCGAGGGGCTGCTGGCCTGGGAGGCCTCACAGCCAGGACGGTGACCACAGCAGGAGCACCTGGAGGGGACCTCCTCGCCTCCACCCAGCAGCCACAAGGCAGTGCCCCCATGTCCATGTAAAAGAGGCTCAGAAAGGCAGAGTGACTTGCCTCGGGTCCCACAGGCTCAGAGGGATAAAGCTGGAAGGGTTAAAAACAGGCCCCATTTGTACCCATGTGACTCTGAACATGTCCCTGCTCCCTGGGCCCCGGTTTCTCTGTGCACAACACATACCCACATGCCACCATCACAGATTGCTGGAGGCAGCCCAGAGACATTGCAAAGCAGGGAGGAGGCAGCGTGGGCCCCCTGCAGGCCCCCATGCTGGGGACCTGAGCCCCGTGCAGAGCAGACTTCCCGCCTAAGGCTGCTCCTCAATAAAACCTGCCTCTTCTGAGGACCGTCCATGAAGAGCCCCCTGTCCCGTGAAATGGAACAAAGCCACCAACTCTGCAGCAGAGGTCACTTTGCAGCATGAGCCGAGCTCCTGTCTGTGCCTAGCCATGACCTAGGCACTGGGGACACAGGAGTGACACGGGAGCCAACAAGGGTCCCCCAAGAGGAGGCTGGTGCTCTATAGGGAGGAGACAGGCCTGGAGCAAGTACACCTCTAAGAGACACGACCCCTGGACCATCGCCCGGAAGTCCAAGTAACGGACGCTCCAGATAGCTCACCTAGAAGGGGTCACCCGTCTCCCTCAGGACCCTCCCTGGCTCCCACTTCCTTCAGGATCAACTCTAACGCAGCCACTCGGCTCTGGGTGCCGGGGCCCTGTGGACCCTCTGACCTCAACCCCTTCCCCCAGGTCCAGCCGCACAGCCTCATGGTCCCTGGACAGGCCGGACCTCTTGGTTCTCAGAGCCGCTGCCCAGGGCCTCCCGTCCACCTGAAGGGCTCCCTCACACTCCGTCTGGCTGATGCCTGCTCAGCCGGGTCCCCTGGGCTCTGCCACACTATGGGCCTCTGTCCTTGGCCTCCTTCCCTTACCCTACGAAAATCCGCGCAGAATGGAAAGAAAAAACAGCCAGGAAAGAGCATGAATCATTTGTTTACAGGCCTAATTAATTACTAAGCTCAAGAACTCCATTTCCATTCTTCCTTTCCCCCCTCTGCCCTTGGAGAATGTTTGGAATCCACATTGTTTCCCAACGTGAAAGTATGTCAAGTTTATTTTTAGCAGACGCACATGATAGCTCAGACTGTTATTCATCCCCCCGCGTCAGTGGGGAGCGGGCCGCCCGAGCGTGCAGGATGCTTGATGCGCCTCAGATGTGGCTCCTGGGAAGCCAGCTAGTCTGCAGTGGCCGCTGGGGTCAAAGTGACCCAAGTGGATCCCCTGCTGAGGACCAGGGGTGGGGGTGGAGGTGCAGGCTGCAGTTCCTCCTCCAGGCCAGAGGCGGCACTGTGGAGGCGGGAAGCGCGGCCCAGCCGGTTCCCAGGCGGCTGAGCAAGGTCTCCCGCCTGGACTGGCCAGCGGGCTGCGTGTTCCTTCCCTGGGGTGTGTTCAGAAGGGGAAAGTGGGAGAGCCTGGTGAGTCGCCTTTGGCTCATCCAGGATGAGAAAGGCCCCGCGCTGTCTGGAGGATGCCACCGAGCCCTCTGGACTCCCCTGTGACCCCCAGGGTCCCCACCCCGTCAGCCTGCCTGCTCCCCCTTCCTGCTCCAGGGCCAGGTTGAGGATGGGGCGGCCATGGTGGGGAACACTGTCTTCCTTCCAAGATGGCTGCGTCCAGGCCCTGGAACCTTCCAGAACCATCCTCCGTCCTGGCCATGGCTGAGCAGCTGGGGATGCTGCCTCTGGCCACCTCCAGGGGACCTGCGGGGGCCTGTCCCTAACACATCCCGTTACCCCGCAACAAGAGTGACGGGGCGAGGAGCAGGAGGCACCGCGTGCCTGGCCACTGTCCCCAGCGCGCAGCTACAGGTGCTTGTCCAAGACCTGCTTCAGGTGGCGGCCTGAGCCCCAGGGCAGGCTGGGAACGCAGCACCCCTCAGGGGCCGGGCCAGGACGCTACACTGGGAGGTGACAGTCACATCCTGCCTGCTGGGGCAGCCACCCTCAGCCCCTGCACTGTGAGCCCAGGGCTCCTGCGTCCCCCTTCTCAGAAGCCGGAATCTGAGCGTCCTGGTTCCAGAGTTGGCTGGACACCAGGGTTCTCAGCCAGCAGCCCAGGGCCGCGGGTTGGGCCCTTGGTGGTGGCGTTGGGCCCTTGGTGGTGGCGTTGGCCCGTGGAGCAGGCCCGTCCTGCCGCGGCCTGGGACAGAGGCTGGGAGGGAGCGGGCGGCCAGCCTCCCCAGGTGGGAGTAGCTATTACCCGCCTCCCGGGCGGCTGCGAGCCGGCCCTCCCCCTGGCCAGGAAGCTGATACCCGTCTAGGTGGGAGGGGACGCAGGTGGAGAAGGAGTTCCAGCTGCGGCGCTGATGGTATCTGTTGTCAAAAGCCCAGACGTCACACCAGGTTAGCGCCTGGTGCCCATTATAACACGTGTCATTAGGAGAAGGGGCACGATTAAGGCCGAGTGGGTCCAGGCGGCTCCTCCCGGCTCCCTCCTGGCCAGGACTGGCCCTGACATGGAGGTCAGTGCAAACCCTGGTCCGGCTGTCAGGACCGCCTCATGGGGACTCTGGGCACCGGAGGGACCCGGTGAAGGGGGCAGACCAAGCCCTGTCCTCGAGAGCCCTGGGGGACAGAGGGACCAACAGTAAATAGGAAACAGAATACACCAGGACTGGGGGACGCAGGGGAGAGGGTGAGGCAGCTGCAGGCAGCAGGGACCACGTGGCTGAGAAAGGGACCTGCCACGCACGACGGGCGCCACCCCCCGCTCCTGGCCCCTATCGCGGGCCCAGGGAACCTCTGAGAGCCACTGGATGCCCAGGGAGAAAACAGCCCGTGGTCCCCGCCCTGAGGAAGGCGCGTCCCAGGGGCAAGAGCCACGTTCAATACAAACGAGGTGAAGAGCCGCCCGCGTCAGGGGGAAAACCAGACCAAAGACGGGGCTCGAGGCGAGGTGGACAAAGCCACCGTCAGGGACGCAAGCCGGCAGCGGGGACAGCAGGCCAGGGCCCGGCTCCTCGTGCCCTGATGTGGGAGGGCGAGCGTGGAGCCCAGGACCACGGCACCAGGCCCGCATGGGGAGGAGGTCACAGTGGGGACCAACGGCCAGGGCCAGGAGGACTCGAAACAGAGGAGGGACAGGCCCCCAGCACGGGCTGCCTGGGCCCCTGCAGCCGTCCCAGCAGGAGCGGCCGGGGCTCCGTCAGACGTGGAGGTGGAGGGGCCTGCGGCCTCAGAGCTGGTACGGGCAGCGCCCACAGGACTTCCCGCCCGGTCACTGGACTTGAGGCAAGAGACGGGCAAGGGCAGCCCAAGGTCTGGCAGAGGGTGACAGGGGACCAGGCTGGGTCCCCTGTGGCCCCCAACCTAGCATCCCACAGTCAGGGTCAGGCAAGGAGAGCCAGAAGCTGGCCCCACCCAGGCCTGGCAGGAAGGGGCACCGGGGCCCGGCCACAGGATGTCACAACCCTGAATAATTTCTCCGCCGCATTTTGCAACGGGTCCCTTTATCAACAGGCACAGGGAGAAGGATTTTGCAACGCCGCCGTGGGTAGCCGTGGCCAGCACCAGGGGCGCCAGGCCAGGCCGTGGACATCGTCCCCACGAGGACTGGATCTGGAGTGGGTCGTTGCAGGTGGCAGGGCCTCAGAGCACACAGCGGCCCAGTCTCAGCCTCCCCTTGGCTGGTGACCTTGAGCAAGTGGCCCTCTCTGGCCCTCAGCTTTTTCTCCAGAAAAAAGTGCGATTAAAGGACCTTTTAAAAGTGATTTTAATAATGTGACCACGGCCAACCCTGTTGGGCACCTGTGTGTGCCTGGCCCGTGGGCAGGTCCCCTGTGCACTCCTCACTGTCCACACGTCAGCGGGTCAACTGAGGTTTCCTGTGTTACAAGTGGGGAAACTGAGGCTGGGACAGAAGACGTGGCCGTCCAGGTCAGCTGGCCTGTCAGGGTGGACCAGGGGCTGGGCCCCGGGCCTGTGGGCCCTCAGGCCCTGCACCCCACTGCTGGGCAGTCTCTGAGGCGTCCTCCCTGTGAAGTGAGGACCAGGAGCTGAGGAAAGTCAGCCTGCCTCCCGCACGGCCGACGCCCAGCCCGGGAACACTGGGACCCAGCGGCCATTGCTGCTAGCAGGACCATTGCTGCTAGCCCTTGGCACACAGAGTCCCCGTCCCACCTCCCAGCCCCTCCTGGCCTGGGGCGACGCATGCACACAGGCTCCAGTCTGCCACTACCACTGTGACCTGGGCACGTGCCTGCTGTCCCCTGAGGCCCAAACTCCCACCCACCATGCAGGGCTGTTCACAGGTCACAGGAGGCCACCAGGCCCATGGTGATCTCCCTGAGGGGCGCCACTTGGCAGAGGGGGACACCACGGCCTGGGCTGGAGAAGGGACACGCCCAGGTGGGGCTGCTGGTCTTGCCTGAGGGGGGGCCTGCAGCCAAGGCCCTGCCCCCAGACCCCGCTGGCCTCCCTCCTGGTTCTCAGACCAGCCCGTCTGTCCTCGTCTCTGGGCCTCTCTGGCTGTGGGCTGCCTCTTCCTACAGCCCTCCTGGGCCCCCGTTCCCTCCGGGCTCCATAAATATTGACCCAGGTGAAGGTGTCTGGCCGCCTGGATTGTTAGACCCCTGCCCAGCCCCCCTCCCCTCACACCCGCCACCCATGGGCTCCCCAGAGACGGAGGACAGGAGGGACAGGAGGACAGGGGGACGGAGATCCAAAGCCCTGGGGACACTCAAAGCGCCTGGGTTCAGGGGGCCTGCAGCTGTAGCCAGCTGTCCTCCTCCTTGGCCAGGGTAGGCTCTGCCCACTGAGCCCAGAAGCCAATGCTGATTGGCCCAAGTCAAACATGGCCCTCTCCCTCCCCTTGCAGCGATTGGCTGAGGCTAGACATGGAATGTAGGTGTGGTCGGTGGAGGAGAAGCTGCCCAGGGGGCTCCTTGGAACAGGTTTCTCCTTTGGAGGGCCTTTTCCTGCCTTAGCTTCAGCAGTGTGAGGACGAGATGGCAGGTGCTTTGGCAGCCATCATGCAGCTCCGAGGAGCCTGAGTGGAGACTGTAGAATCAGGAGCCCTAACAGCAGTGCCTCCAACTCACCCCACTGTTTGTTCACTCATTCAACAAATATTTACTGAACCCCCACTGTGTGCCAAGCCCCGTGATGCGCACTGGGAACACAGCAGAGCGTGTCAACACCATCCCTGCCTGACGTTCTGGAGTGGGGGTCGGGCTTCAACCCAGCACTCATCTGGCCACCGCGGAGACATGGCCACCGTGAGGGCTGCCAGAGAGATCCCCGCAGACGGGACCAGAGCAGGGGCGGGGAGTGGTGGGAAGGGACGTTCTGGGGACGTGTCTGGGCTCAGGTTGCTCAGAAGCAGATGTCCCAGAGCAGAGGCTGGGGTGCGCGTGATTCATGAGGACATGCCCCGGGAGAGAGGGAGCGAGGGGAGCAGGGCAGGGCAGGGCTGGACAGGGCCTCGCGGAGCCCACGGTGGAGGATCTGGAGTGTGGCCGGCCCAGGGCCGAGCCTGCGGGACGGGGAGGCTGCGTTCCCGTGCCCCTGACTCATCGGTGCTGGGCTGTGTCCCGTCTGCGCCTGGGGGTGGGAGGACCTCCCAGGTGAGGAGGCGCCTGCCCTCAGAGGCAGTTGCCCCAGAGGGACTCCCGCTGCGGGCCCCTAGCAGCCAGCCCGGGTGGGTCCCCGCAGCACCCCGAGGGAGAGTCCCTGGTCTGAGCCTGGGCACTGGCTGGGAGAGAAGGGAGGAGGGCTTCCCGGCAGAGGCGGCAGCAGAGGCAAAGGCCCTGGACCAGGCGGGAGCAGGAAATGCAGAAAGAACCCCAGGAAGTCCCGCAGGTTGAGGGTGGGGGAGGGAGACAGGAGGGGGACGGGGACACCGTGATGGGCACCTACAGGTCGCGAGGGGGTCAGTCTGTTCCCAAGGGGTGGGAGTCAGGGAGGTCAGAGGGCAGCGCAGGGTCACGATCCCAGCCTGCGTGTCGCAAGGTCAGCTGGCAGCTGGTGGAGAGGAGGCTGGGACCTGGAGGCTGCGGCCCGTCCAGCGGCATCTGACCGTGGAGGACAGCACGAGGTGGGTGGGGGCTGAGAGAGCCAGAGGGGTGACATGGCTGCCGGGCTGAGAGCACCGCTGACACAGGTTCCCGCGACCTGGGAGCCCATGGCCCCTTCCCCATGGGGAGGACCCGGCCTGGTGGGCTGTGCCCTGGAAGCAGCTCCAGCCGGGGACACTCGTGAACCTCAGGCCCTCGGGTCCTAGGCCGGGTCTGCCGTCCCCTCCCTCTGCAGGCCGGCCTCTTGGTGGAGTCCTCGGGACACCAGGCCTGCCTCCCCGTGGGACCTGCTGACCTGGCACCCCCACCGCTCCTCCCAGCCCTGCCCACAAGACCCGGCCCTTGGCCTTCAGACGGGGACGGTCAGCCGCGCTGGACCTCCCCCTCCCCAGCCGTCCCCTTGAGAATCAGTCACATCCCAAGGATCCCAGCCGAAGACCCCATCTCCACCAGCTCCTCCATCCCCGTGGGTGGCCGACTGTGCCACCTGGAGGCCAGCGGCCTGCCAAGGCCACCCAGCAGGTCCCTGGCGCAGGTGCCTCCCCAGTCCTGGGCACTGTCTTGCAGGACACCTAGGTTCCCTGATTCGGTGGCCACGGCCAGCCAAGAGATGATTGCAACCAGATTCTGGCCAGTGATTCATGACCACGTCTCAGCCAGGTCACCCCGTGGGGCTGAGGACACAGAGAGGACCTTGTGAGGCAACACTGGGAGGGACGGGCTGGGGACCCGGGTCAGTGGGTCCCTCCCAGGAGGAACCCATGCTGCAAATGGCTCGAGCTGCTTCCATGGTGCTTGCTGGCAGAGGTCCCTGGGGACACGGCAGTGATGAGTGACCTGGTGTCTGTCCTCGGAGAGCCCCATGAGAAGGCCAGCATCCGTATCAATGAAGTGGACAGGATGCTCACGGAGAAGGGCAGGGAGGCCTGGCAGGCTGGAGTGGAGGCCGATGCCTAGGGCAGAATTCTGGGAGGATCGGGAGAAGAACACGGAGGCACAGCACATGCAAAGGTCCTGAGGTGGCCGAGCCTGCTGTGTTCCTGCAATGCAAATGGGGGGGTGGAGACAGGGAGGGCCAGCTTGATGAGGCAGGAGCAAGAGCAGATCCCCAGCCCCTGGCTGAGGCGAGGAGCCAGGAGTTTAGCTTAAAGCCATGGGTGGGGGGGCTTCAAAGGCAGGGGATGGGATGGACCTGATCAGAGTGGAGTCCAGGGCCCCTTTGGGCTTCTCCCACACTGACCTGGGGGCCCGGGTGACCATAGCTCTCACTTGAGGGCCCAGGCCTGTCTTCTAGATGCTAGGTGTCCGCAGGTCTGAGAGGACAAACCCAGCACCCTGGCGGCCTCATGGCTACACGCCCCCCCACCCCCCCACCCCGGGGGGACCCCAAGGGAACATTCCAGACTGCGATGATGTCAGTGCTGAGAACTAGTTAGCTCGGCTTCCCCTCAGGAATCCCCAGCTCTTCTCCAAGAAGGACCTCGGGGAGGCCACCAGCCCTGCCTCCGCAGGGAGGCTGGAGGGAGTGGAGTGAGGAGCCCGGCTCCTAGGGCTGCCCTGGCCCAGCTGGATGCCCCCAGCCCCCTGCACCCAGACGCCCATCCCAGGGGGCACCAGGCCCCGCCTCCCTCCTGCTGCACCCCAGGGCCTGTCTCCCCCGGCTCTGACCTGCCTGTCTCTCCCCCAAGGCTCCATCCTCTGCCCCCACCCGGCTCAGGCCCAGCCCCTCCGCCCTCCCCTGGGCGGGGGCTGCGCTCCTGGGCCATCCCCTGGGGCGTGGGGTGGGGGCCTGCTCTCAACCTGCAGGTTCTTCCAGCTCAGCCCTGGACCGGCCCCTCCCCCTCCCCCCCACACCCTGGGCCAAGGGGGCTGCTGGAAAGGGAGGCCCCACGTGAGCCTCCCTCGCTGTCCCCCCGCCTGCACCTGGGGAATCGGAGGCTCAGGCTGCCTCCCTCAGGACCACTCAGCTGACCCAGCGCTTGGCCCGGGATCCAGCCCCCGCCTCGGGCTCCTGCAGAGGCCACCGGGTCTGGAGTCCTTCCTGATCCCTGATCTCTGCACGTCTCCGTTCTAACCCAGGACTGAGAGGACGGTCCTCTGCGCCTTCCCCCACGTGGCCCAGAGCTCTTGTCCCACAGGAACATTCTTCCCCATTGCAGGGCCGCCTGGTCCCCCGCCCGGTCCCCTGCCTTGTCCCCCTACCTGGTCCCCTGCCTGGTCCCCCTGCCTGGTCCCCTGCCTGGTCCCCTGCCTGGTCCCCCACCTGGTCCCCTGCCTTGTCCCCCTGCCTGGTCCTCCTGCCTCCACACCTGCCCCAGCCCCCTCGCTCACCGCCACCCCGGTGGTCCCCAGTCTGTTTCCACACAGTGTCACAGCGATCCTGGCCCCAACAACTTCACGATGCACAGGCGCACACCCCCAGGTGGCCATTGTGGGACTGAGGAGCCCTCTCGGTGGCCGCAGTCAGGAGGATGGAGCTGCAGGTCTCTGGGCTTCGAGCTGCAAAGCCCCAAAGTGGGCCTCCCTGGGGGAGCCCCGGCCTCTGCGTTGGAGGAAGGAGGACTCCTGGGGCAGCGGCCGTGGCCAGTGACTGAAGGGTCCAGCTGGGCGTCCTGCTCCACTCCCAGAGCCCAGGGTCAGGGCTGGGCCCTTGCCCTCGGCCTCTGAGGCTATGGGGAGCCGGGGGACGAGACGGAGCCTGGTGACAAACGCAGCCTCGAGGGAGCAGAAACCCAACAGCAGCCAAGAGAAAGGCCAGGTGGGGGCCAGGGCGGGCACAGGGCCGGGGGGACGTCCCCTGGGGACCTGCTCCACCTCCCGCCCCTCTTCGGAAGAACCAGCCGGGCCTGCCCTCCTGGAGGGACACTGGCCCCGGCCCGGCCAGCCCAGCCTGCCTCACTCGACCCCTGCCCCAGGGCAGGACTTGGGAAAATACCCAAGGCCTGGAGGGAGCTGTCCTGCAGGCCAGCACTGTCCCAGGGCCGTCCACTGGCTCCTCTCAAGGACTCTGCGACCTCCGCACTTATTTTTCTTCTTCAGAAAGTGCCAGGCCCGTGGCTGCTGATAAACGGGCCTCTGCTGCGCCTCCCGGGCTCCCAGGGAACCCAGCTGACCCGGGGCCCGTGGGCTCTGGGAAGGGGTGAGTCGGTCTGGGGCTCTGTCCCCGCTGCTTCCAGTGCCCGACATCTGTTTTGCTGGGCACTGGGCATGTGGCGTCCCCACCCAGACAAGAGGGCTTCACAGGGTAGAGCACAAGTCCCTCAGACGTGGTGCCAAGAGTCCCCTGGGGGTGAGACAAACAAGGCTCCTCTGAGGTGCGAATGAAAGCCCCGGGCAATGCCGGACACTCCAGCCCAGGGTCAGAGCCAGCAGGGAGGACAGCGGCACCGTACCAGGTCCCCGGCAGCTCCATGTCCAGGACCAAAACCTGGGGTCGACCGAATGTCCCCAACAGCAGATGGCTGAGGCATGTTCTCACAGGAAGGCTGACCGTGGTGGTTTAAAAAAAGTCCACACCATGAGCACAGCCTGCGATTCCCCGACTCAGGAGGCTGAGGCAGGAGGATCCCAAGTTCAAGGCCAGCCTCAGCAACTTAAGAGCCCTCAGGGACTTAGGGAGATCTTGTCTCTAAATATGAAAAATAAAATTCCTGGGGTTGCAGGTGGGTGGCTAAATGCCCGCCTTCTCCCTCCAGCGTCGCAGGGAGACAGAGAGGAGAGAGGCGCATCCTCGTGCCACCTCAGATTTTAGGCAGATGTCACGACTGGCTGAAGGGATCAGAGCCTCTCGTCTGCCAGCCCTCAGGACAGCGGCGTCCCAAGACCCGCAGAGTCCTCCCGGGAAGCCCAGCTGGCCCGCCCGGCGCCCAGCACTGGTTCCCAGGTGCCAACAGCCTCCGGTGGCTACAGAGAGGCCCAGCTGCTCTGTGCCCACCTGGTACCGCCCCAGTGAGTCCAGAGTCCAAAGAAGATTCTTTTTCAGAGAAAAGAAGAAGGAGACACATTTGCAAAGAAGGAAGAAACCCTAGAAAGACCTGGAGCTTAGAGCCCAGACCCCACAAGGGCGCTGGACGGGGCGGGGGTGGCCGGGCCGGACCACAGGCTGACCGCAGCTTGTGGGGACGTCTCCGGGGGTGGAGAGTGGCTGCCTCGGTGACCGTCATTGGGAACTCGGGCCAAGCGGGAATCCAACAGCTCCTGGGTCCCCTGCGCCCGGTGCCCATCCTTGGTCCTCTGTTCAGAGCAGAAGTCCACCCGGGTTCATCGGCTCCCGGGCCCTGCTGTCCCCTCCTCCCCACTTCCAGGGGCAGATGCAGACGAGCTGGGGCCACCAGCTCACAGGGCCACCATCCTGCCAGGCAGGACCAGGACCTCTCCCAGGATCACTAAGAACTGCAAGGTGACAGCCACCACCCTCGACGCCCTCCCTGGCCCCTTCTGGCCCCTCCCTGCCCACCGAGAACCTCACCAACGCGGTGGCAAGCTGGGGCTCTCCAGTAACCTCCCCAGCCAGAGCCCCGTCATGCACTTCCCTCCCCGCGGCAGCCATTGTGACAGGTAGGCGCTGGGAGGCTGCAGGGCCACGGGCTCCCCGCCACAGAAGGGGCCATCACACGCACTGAGGAGTGAGGCCTCCTGACCCCTCGGGGGACGGGCACAGAGTGGGCAGCGCCCAGGCCGCACGGCCAGGTAGACCAGGGCGTAGACTGGCACCCAAGCCTGCGGGGGCTCCGAGCTCACCACTGGCCCAGGAAGAAAGGCAAAGGCCGGCGGGCAGGGGTTGGCAGCCAGCCGGCCAGGGAGGAGGCTCAGGATGGAGCTGCCCTCTGCCCCACTGACCCCCTCCCCACTGGGAGCCGCCAGCTCCGGGCTGCGCCGTCTTTGCCAAGCGCTGGTTACGCCATCCCGGCCCTGGAGAGCCTCCCGAGCACAGCAGGGCAGTCAGGCGGGAGAGGCCAGGCGGGAGGAGCACTGGAGACACACTGTGGGCTCCCTACACCCTCCCGCTGTGCAACCTCAGGCAATCCACACCCCCTCTCTGAGCTTTGGAACCCCGGGGTTCTCAACTCCCAGCACAGTTGCCCGCACGAGGCGCGGGGTCAGCTGTTCACCTCCCCGTCTCCAGTCCCCCCTCCCTGCCCACCTCCTCCCCCTGTTTGCTGGGCCTCTTGGGGGTCTTCGTTTTGATGGTGACATGGAGGTTCAACGTCCGAGAGGTGGCGTCCCTCCCGCACGTGGCCGGGGTGGTGGCTGTCTCTCACACGTGAACTTCACCCGATCACAGGGCCACGTTCGGGTCAGGACAGAAACTTCTCAGCAACCCAGACGGCTGCTCCCTGCCCTTTCCCGGCAATGACCCCTTGGCCACGGAGGGGACCCCTGTGGCTCCCAGACCTGCTGCCGGCTCCTGAGCCTCACTCTGGAGCTCCCGCGGGCCACCCTCGCTGTCCGCCTGTCCGACTTACCCTCTCCTTGCTGGAGGTCCTGGCTGCCCCCCGCTGGGGCGACTGTAAATGAAACTGCGGAGAGTGGCCTGCGGGCCCTTCTATGTGCGGGTCTATTCCTCGGGGCACACTGAAGGCCGGGGTTGATTTTGACATGATTTTGAACTTGCGGAAAGATGACCATGTGTCCAGGGGCCCGGGGCCTCCTCCAGCCCCACTTAGCCACCTGCCCTCTAGTCATTATCTGGAGTCGCTGTGGTCGCGAGGTCACCTTCCCCCACACCTCCTGCACCACCTCCTGACCTCCAACACGGCCTGGTGGGGACAGCAGTCAGGACGTTCTATCTTTGACAATCCTGTCATCAAACCCACAGGCCCTGGTGACGTTCCACCCGGCCCGCACGGCTGTGTGGCCTGCCTGGACCCCAATCAGCCCGCTCCCCTCAGCTAGAGATGCCTCCTCCCTCTGAGCCCTGGGTGCCCTTGGCCTTGGTGCCCGGCCAGCCCTCCTGTGGCATGTCCCCTACCCCGGCGGGTGACGTGTCCTGATGGGACTCAGGTTGTGCATCTTTGCAGGGATATGATAGAGACGATCCCGTATTCCCGTGTGTCCCATCAGGTGACGCACAGCTGTGACTTCTCCCTGCTGGAAATCGAGGACGGTGAGGGACGCCGCCCCACGGAGCCGGGACAGGAGGAGAGGAGCTGGCTTTGGCGACTCTCCCCTCCCGGCACCTGCAGGGAGGGCCGGGCCCGGGGGAGCGGCCGCGCAGGCTGCCAAGGCCCAGGCCTGTCTCCTGGCCCGGTCCTCGCCCTGTGTCCCAGAACCTACCCCAGACGTGAGGAGCCGGAATTCGAGTCCGACCGGGCAGCAGGCCTGTGGGTGCTGGGCCCTGCCTGGTCCCCGAGTAATGGGGAAGGGAGGCCACACAGGGAGCCACCCAGCCCTCAAGACTCAGCCCCCTGCACCCTCCACAGCAGCGATTTCCAACCAAGAGGGCTTTTGCCCCCAAGGGGACATTTAGCAATTGGGATAACATTCTGGGTCATCACAACTGGGGAAGCTGCTCCTGGCATCTAGGGGGTGGAGACCAGAGACGCTGCCCCACACCCTGGGGCGCACAGCTCGGTCCCAGGACAGCGCGATCCTACTCCAGATGCCAAGACTTCCCAGCCCCCTCCGCGGCACTCACGGAGGCCCTGACTGTCTTCAGCCACCGGCTTCCCACCAGGCCCCTGGCTACGGAGGAAAGGTACCGGGGCCAGCAGCACCGGGGGCTCTGTGGCCCAGGTCGTCTGTCACTGCTCTGAATTCACGATGGTGTGGTGTGGGCACTGGAGAGGCTTCAGGACGTCACAACCTGGGAGCTGAGGTGGGGACTCGGGTGGGCCAGGAGCCAGGTGCCCCCGAGTCAGAACCGAGGGTGGCTGGACGTCTGATGAGGCGCCGGCTGTTTGCGTGGTCCCCGCCCCGCCCTGACCGGCCAGCAGAGGACAGATGAACCAGGGCCCTCTGCTTCCTGCAGCGAAGCAGGACCTGAGTCCAACCCCGCGATACAGCCGGCCGGGACAGGCCGCAGAGCAGCCGGCCTGTGTCCTCCAAGGCACCAAGGTCACCAACGCCAAGGGAAGCCCGAGGCGCCGGCCTCCCTCCTGGAGGCCGAGGAGGCGAGGCACTGGGCACCCTGTGAGTCCCAGCCGGACCCTCGGGCCGCGCCGGCCGGCGGTGAGCCTGTGTCCGGCTTCCATACTGGGCTGTAGTGACAGCGACAGATGTCCCCTGCCACGGAACCACATTTCAAAACATCATGGACGCGGGGACAACGGACAGATCGGCAATTTATTCACAAACAACTGAGAAGAAGGTTCTCCGTGGGGTACCGCAGTTTTCCATCAGTTTGAGATCTTTTTCAAAATGATAATTAAAAAGAGAGAGAGCGAGAGAGAGAGAGAGAGAGCGAGCGCAAGAATTAGAACAGACCCCCCCCACGGCTGGGCAAAGCGCCCCGCGTCCCCCCAACTGAGTCCACCCAGGTCTGTCTGTCCCCTGTGGGCAGCAACATGGCAAGTTAAGTGGAGGGACAGCCGCGCGGCGGGTCGGCCTGGCCGCCGTGCCGCAGGGGGGCAGGACCTGGGCCCTGTGACAGTGACGTTGCCAGGTCAGAAGGCAGACCCGAGGCCACGCCGTCCGCTCCGTGAAGCACACACAGGGGGGCTCTGACGGTCGCCCTCGGTGTGGGGGTGGTGCGCAGGTCCCCCCGGGTGCTGGTGTCCCTTGACCTGGACCCCGGGGGGTCTGTTCCAGCAAAATCCAGGAGCCGACACCCGTGTGCCCCTCGCACACCAGGGACAGACAGACAAGGGACCCTCAGGAGGCCGGGCGTTGGCGGCTGGAGTGGGGGCAGGGTGGGGCAGTGAGCCGCGGGCTGAGGTCTCGCGGGGACGGGTGCCGACTGGGCTCTAGGACAGGAGCATGGCCAGCCCTGCACCTGGGCTCCAGGGACAGACACAGGAAAGGCCCCTCTGGACACCCCAAGGGTCAGCCGGACAAGCTGTGAGTGACCCCACCTGCACCAGAGGGCGGAGACGGGTGACCAGCCGCCCAGGGCCCTGACCCCCGCCCCAGATCCCTCCTCCACAGCCCGTGACCCTGCCACCAGTTTCCCCGGAGCCTTCCTCCTCTCTGCCACCTCTGTCCCTGCCAGGGCTCCAGGGCTGGGACAGGGATCTGGTGACAAGTCAGCTATAAAAATAAAAGCTCCCGGGCCCAGCTCCCCGGCTCCAGACTCACCTCAGAGATCTCAGCTGGGCAGGCCCCGGGCAGCTGGCAAAGCCGCCTGCAGACCTGCCAGCCAGGGCCTCTGGGGAGCAGGTGGCCGGGCAGCGGTGTGGGGCCCAGGGGTCATTCAGGGTGGCGCGGGGCATCTGGCCCTCACAGCTGCCAACACGCTCCAAGCTGCAGCCGACCTTGACCCTCCCGTTCCCAAACTCAGGGCCCCTTGGTGGCTTCGACCAGGATTCGGTCAGCAGAGAAGTTCCTGTGGATTCCAGGCTCTGGTTCAAGCCGGACCTGATGCTCACTGAGACTCGCTGAGAGTCACGGGGAAGACGTCTGAAGACAGGCAGGGTATTTTCGTGGCAGGGTGTCTTCTATAATTAAAAGGAATCAAACAAATTCTTTCTCCTGAGCAAAGAGCTCATTTCTGCACTCGGGCAACGTATCCCTAAAACATCCTCAGACAAGGCAGCGCTGGGCCACGGGGAGAAATGCAGGTCACAGACCAGCTCACGCGGCTCCATTCCACTTTGGCGAATGTATCAGTTAGAAATAGATTCAGCTGCCAGTAACAGGAAGCCAAATGACGGGGCCTCCGTAGCAGAGATTTCTTTTTCTCCATGTAAACAAGCCCAGAGCCTGGCAGGAAAGGTCTGGGGTGGCTGTGTCCCTGACACAGAGAACTCCAGTGCCTCTTGTCTTTGGGTTTCATCACCACACATGAAGCACGTGGCTTCTGTGCTTCCATATTTGTCTCATGGTTCAAGATTGCTCCTGCAGCTCTGGCCATCACGTCTCAGTTCCAGGTTGCAAGTAGGAAGAAGTAAGATGGGGTGCAGTAAAGAAAGAAAGCACAGCTGAGTCAGCCCCCTGTAAGGCCCTTCCCTGGAAGCCCCACCTACAGCTTCCATTTCTATCTCACTGGTCACCCCTAGCTGCAAGGGAAGCTGGGAAACGCAGTCTCTTCATAGGGTTCTTGTCCCTGAAGACGGAGAAGTCCCATTCTAAAGGAGAGAGGAGGAAGGGGTGACTGCGAATCGACCATGAAGGGAGAATGAAGACCCCGTGGGCTGTGGGCCACCACACAGGGCCCTCTGGGCAGTCCTCTGCAGGATCCCCTTTTCAAAACCTTCTGAGAAATGTTACCGTCCCTGGTTACAGACAGGGAAAAGCCGGCCCAGCAAGACACATTCACTTGCCCAGGTCACACAGCCAGGAGGGGGTGGGTTTGCAGCTGGAACCCAGGTGGCCTCTTCCAGCACGTGAGTCTTAACCCACCAAGTGGTGACAGTGGCAATGACGATGACGGCTGCCACGTGCCCTGTGCCAGCACTGCTCTAGGCACATGGTGTGGATGAACTCAGTCCTCACCGTGGCCTGAGGAGGCGGGTGCTATAGCTCTTCATTTCCTAAGCCAGGAGACGGAGGCACTGAGAGGTGGAGGAACCTACCCAGGGCCACACAGCAGAGCCGCCAGGTTCCGTCCCGGGTTCGATCCGTGGGAGCTCTTTATCTCCTTCTCCTGGTGATGCTCCACTTTCTCTGACCCCCACCACAGCCTGCTCCTCGGAACTTAAAAGATAGACAGCACCCGAGGGGCCCAGCCTCCCGCCTGTCCCCAGCCCTCACCGCCCTGGCCCTGACGGCCAGCCCTGCCTCCCCTGCCGCCGGCCGGCCTCCTCCCGGGGCTGTGCCCTCTCGCCTGCAGTCAGGGCTTCCCACAGCACTCTCCCCCTCCTGGCCGCCAGCCTCCCTGCAGGCCCCTCCTGGCCAGCCCTGCCCCTCTTCCTGCCTGGCCACCAGCTCCCTGTGGCCCTGGGTCACAGGCTGTCCCCCGGCTCTCCTGGGTCGGGCAGGCCACGCAGCACCCTTCACCCACTGCACTGCGCCCTTCCGTCAACAGACTCATCAAGGACTCTCTGGTGCCAGGCCCTGGCAGGGACACACGCGCTCCTCCTCTGAACCTCTCTCAGCCTGGCCCTGGCCTCCAAGGCCCAGCGTGAGGGCCCCGCCGCCTCGCTGTCCTCCCCCCCGCCCCACACTGCTGCCGGCTTCTCCCCTCACACGGACTCAGCCTGTCTCAGGGCCTTTGCACCTGCTGACCCTTCTGCCCAGATGCCCCCCAAGTACCCCGCCCAGGTGCTCTCTGCCACTGCCCCCACTCGGTTTTCTTTGAGGCCTTTGTCACAATCAGAATGCGCTGCCACCTCACGAGCTGCGCAGCTCCCAGGGCAGGGGCCGTCCTGGGCCCACAGCCCTGATACTGGGCGACCGTCGTCCTCTCCGTTCACAGGTGAGGAAGCCCAGGCCCAGACGGGCCGAGCGCCTGGCCCAAGGTCTCCAGAGGACAGGGGACGAAGTTCAGAGCGTCCATGTGGCGCGTGTGTGTGTGCCCCGGCCTCCCGTAGGGTGTAGAGTGGTCAGGGCCCGTCTGTCCCTCAGTGGGACCAGGCCAGCAGGGAGGTGGCTGAGCTAGGGACACAGAGGGACCTAGACTGGAATCCCAGCTTTGAAGAGCTCTGAGCAAGAGACGCTCCGATGCTGCTGCTCGGCCCTCAGCACCCCCTAAACGGGGCCGCAGAGGACACAGAGAGCTCGCAGGCCTTCCAGAGGGGCCACAGCCAGGGGACGGCCGGGGGCATCCAGATCAGCCAGCCCCAGACAGACTCGGTGGGCGAGGGGGAGGACAGAGGGCAGGGAGACTGGCCGCAGGACCTTCCTGCCTCCCTCGGGGGAGTCCCCTCTCTCACTGCCCCCCCCAGCCCTCGGGGGACGCTTCCCTTGTGCCTTGGCTGCCCCGGCTGAGGAAGGGGAGATGGTGAGTCCTCGTCACGGGGCTCTCCTAAGGACCAAGGCACGTGAAGCACACAGGGTGGCCCCTGGCGCAGAGCCAGCACTGTCCCCAGCCCCCAGCTCGGGGACAGATGCCCCTCCAGGAGAGACCTTCAGGGCCCCGTCACCCGGCCCCACTTCTCTGTCCTGGGAGTCCCTGTCCCCACCTGCCATTGCCTTGTTCCAGGTACTGAATGCTTAGTGCCCGTCTCTCCTTCATGTTGGTCACTGCAAGGCCCCTGCACCTAGTCACGGGGCTTGCACACAGCAGGTGCTCAATAAATGCTTGTCTAAATGATGAAAAATAACTGGACAATAAGAGATGAGGACAAAATGATCCTGACAAGTCTGAGCGGGCCCTTGGGGGCGAGGGCCACTCTGCAGTGTTGAGAGGGAGTGGCCGACTTCTGCCAGGAGCTGTGCGCCTTAGACATGTCACTTCCCCTCTCTGAGCCGTTCACTTGGCAGGAAAATGCTGGTGGCAGAACCTGCAGCCTCCAAGAGGCTGAGGAGCTGAGGAGACTGCAAGAGCCCCTCACGGGAGTCTGTGCGCTGTCGCCCTTTTCAGTAGGCCCAGTCACCAGGCCATGGGACGACCGGGTGGGATGAGGAGGTGCAACGTGTTCTGTCCCCTGACCTGAGGGGTGTGGGCTGGGGTTCCAGGCTCCCCACAGCTGGGCTTGGTGACCTCACCCCCGGTGGCCTGCCCAGTCCCCACTCACCCTGCTGCTCTCCACCTGGGCGCATCCTGGGCCTGCTCCGCGCCTCTCCCCAGCCCACTCCTCTGTCTCTGAACTTTTGAAAGGACTGGTCCCTCCGCCCTGCAGACTCGTGACCCATGGGGTGGATGTCACCCCATCATGACGTCCCCTGGGTCCTCTGGCACAGCCCTGTCCCCAGCGCTCCCACACCAGGCCACAGAGCTCCCTGGCCAAGCCGGGGTGGCAGCCCAGCACCGGCTTTCCTGCCCTCTCAGGGTCACCAGGGGGCTGGGCTTCAGATCTTTCTGCTGCTTCCAGACTGTGACACCGGGTGGGAGCCACTTCACTCTGGGACTTGGGGTGCCTGAACTTTCCTCTGGGAAAGCGGAACCTTCCGCAGAGACCCGGGACTCAGCCGGGCCCGTCCATGAACGTGGACCTCATTCCGTGACCTCGGGCTACTCACTGGGGAACGAACTGGGGGAGGAAGAGGGAGGGTGGCTGCCGGCTGCTCCCCTTCACCTGTGTGTCCTCTGCAAAACAGGTGAGCAGCAGCAGCCCCGCTCTCAGTGACAAAGGGGACAGTGGGGACTGGGGAGATGCCCCCTGCCCCCCATCCCCCAGGCTTTGCCCTTGGGTACACAAATCCTGGAGGCAGTTGAGCTCATGTGTGGTCACTGGTACTAAGGAAGGCCATGCGGGCCACCGTGGCCAGGCCTGAACCCACCAGGGCTGCAGGCGCCCTCCTGGCACGCGGTCCACGTGCCCAGGGCCCAGAGCAAACCTGTCGGGGCCACCCCCAGGCCCAGGCTACAGTGCAGTTCCCCGCACCCAGTGCTCTGCACGGCCCTGGTGCCAACAATGGAGACGCCAGCCCAGGGAGGTGGTGGCTGCCGGGGTCCTCAGCTCCTGGTCCTGGCCGGTGCGGGTTGATGGTCCCCATCTGTCTCCCACACTCCAGGCCCCAGAGGGGAGGGGAAGGGGAAGCTCCCCGCTTCCTGAAGCCTCGGTCTCAGCAGCTGCTCCCAAGATCCCAGGCTGCCCCAGGCCCTTGGCAGCTGCTGGGACTCCTCAGGGCAGGGTGACCCCAGCCAGCTCCTTCTCCACCGGCTCTGAGAGCGGAAAGCCACCCAGGGCTCTAAAGCAGGCGCCCAACAGCACCCAGCTTCCCCCAGGCATCCATGGGGTCTAAGTGGGATGGGGCCACAGGGTTTGCTGACACAGGCTCAGCAAAAGCTTGGCGGGCTCACGCCGCACCAAAGCCGTCGTGCCAGGAGCCTCCCGGCAAGAAAATAACAACAAGAGCAGGAGCTTATATAACACCCCGCACCAGGCACGGCCGCCCGCCTCTCCCAGCCCTCCATCCGCAGCCTCCACTCGGGAATGGAGCGGGGTGCGGGGGCTGTCCCAGGGATCGGGGATAAGGGCCCCAGGTTCAAACCCAGACACAGCCACCTTGAGCACGCAGGAGAGGCTGGCCTCAGTGGCCACCTGGGACCAAGAAGGCAAGTCTCCCACCCCGGGGAAGGCAGTGTAGGTGTCGGACCTGCCCCCACCCTCCACCTGGCCCAGGGTTCCCCAGCTGGACGGACACATAAACCAGCCAGAGACACACAAACAACTCGCCCACGCACACACCCTGGCTTCCCTCTTAATGCGCGCGCGCGCACACACACACACACACACACACACCATGGAAGTCTTTTCTCAACAGCCCACCTCTTACCAAAAGAATCTGCCCTGACTTGGGCTGGCAGGGCCGAGGCACCAAGCTCCTCCTCCCAGAGTGACAGGCCTGTCTGGCCCCCAAAACACAGCACAGGGGTCTCAGGCCTCCTGGCCCCTCCAAACCCAAGCATGACACTC